GGCCGTGGCGAGCCGCTGCGCTTCCACCGGAAAGCGCCCTGCCTGGACGGAGGTGGCGCAGCCAGCGGAGCAGCCTGCGGCCCAAAGTGTGCGCGGAGGCGGGGCACCTGCTAGCGTTAGGTCGGGCATGCCCCCCTACAGGAACATTGTGGACGATAGATAAAAATGCAAAAAAGATTCGACAGATAATCAAAAATGGCCAACAAAAATGCTCAAACAATCGTCCCCTGACTATTTTTGAATTACCTAGGCTCTGCCTAGAAGGGCTCTTACTTTCTATCTTAAAGGGGCCGGGCCGTGTTGCCCGCCCCGGGCGGTTCCCCCAGTCCCCGCCCCGCGGTTCCCCCAGTTGCGCCCCGTGGGTTCACCCAGCGTAGCTTAGCTAAGTTTAGCTTAGCTTAGCTTAACCTGGTTTAGCTTAGCTTATTTAGCTTAGCTTGTCACATCTTAGCTTAGCTTAGCTTAGCTTAGCCTAGCCTAGTTTAGCTTAGCTTAGCTTAGCTTAGTATAGCTTATCTCATCTTAGCTTAGGTTAGTTTAGCTTAGCTTAGCTTGGCTTGGCTTAGCTTAGCTTAGCTTAAGCTTAGTTTACCTCAGCTTAGCTCAGCGCAGCATAGCGCAGCGCAGCATTAGCACAGCATAGCATTGCATAGCATAGCCAAGCATAGCCAAGCAAAGCATAGCATAGCTCAGCAGAGCGTCGAAAACATGCGTGTGTGTGTGTTTGTGTGCGCAGGCAAAGCAAAAACAAAATCAAGCAAAAGCGAAAACATTATCCCAGTGCGACCCTACCTAGGAGTTGGAGCCCCCATGGAAGCAGCATTGGTAGTAACATTGAGGTTAAGCTCAAGCTAAACTAAAGCTAAGCTAAAGATAAGTTAAAGCTAAGCTAAAACTTAGCTAAAGCTAAGCTGAAGCTAAGCTAAAGCTAAGCTAAAGATAAGCTAACGCTAAGCTAAAGCTAAGCTAAAGCTACGCTAAATATAAGCTAAAGCTAAGGTACAGCTAAGCTAAAGCGCAGGTAAAGCTAAGCTAAAGCTAAGCTACATCTAAGCTAAAGCTAAGCTGCAGCTAAGATAAAGCTAAGCGAAAGCTAAACGAACGTTAAGCTAAAGCTAAACTAGAGATCAGATGTAGCTAAGCTAAAGCTAAGGTAAAGCTAAGCTAAAGCTTCGCTAAATCTAAGCTAAAGCGAAGGTAAAGCTAAGCTAAAGCTAAGCTACAGCTAAGATAACGCTAAGCTACAGCTAAGCTAAAGCTAAGCTAAAGCTAAATAATATATGATATGCTAAGCTATGTTAAGCTATGCTATGCAATATTGTGCTATGTTATGATATGGTGTGCTATGCTATGCCATGCTATGCTATGCTACGCTAAGCTAAGCTACATTAGACTAAGCTAAGCTCAGCTAAGCTAAGCGAAGGTAAGCCAAGCTAAGCTAAGCTAAGCTAAGCCGAGCTAAGCTAAGCCAAGCTAAGCTAAGAAGAGATAAGCTAAGCCCAGCTAAGGGGGCGCTATGCTAAGCTATGCTACGCTATGCTATACAATACTGTGCTATGTTATGATACGCTGTGCTATGCTATGCCATGCTATGCTATGCTACGCTAAGCTAAGCTACATCAGGCTAAGCTAAGCTAAGCTAGGCTAAGCTAAGCTAAGCTAAGCTAAGCTAAGGTAAGCCAAGCTAAGCTAAGCCAAGCTAAGCTAAACCAAGCTAAGCTAAGACGAGATAAGCTAAGCCAAGCTAAGGGGGCGCGACTGGGGGAACCGCGGGGCGGGGACTGGGGGAACCGCCCGGGGCGTGTAGCACTGCCCGGCCCCTTTAAGCTAGAGAGTAAGAACCCTTCTAGGCAGAGCCTAGGTAGGGAAAAAGCAAAGCAAAAGCAACAGCAAAAGCAAAAGCAAAGGCAAAGGCAAAAGCAAAGGCAAGAGCAAAAGCAAAGGCAATGCCAAGAAAAAGCAAAAGCAAAACGCGAAAGCGTAGATGTAGATGTAGATGTAGGTGTGTAGATGTGGATATAGGTGTAGATGTAGATGTATATGTAGGTGTAGATGTAGGTGTAGGTGTAGATGTAGATGTGAGTCTCGCTGTTGATGTTGATGTAGATGTAGATGCAGGTGTAGATGTAAATGTAGCTGTCGGTGTAGATGTAGATGTTACTTTCCTAAATGCTCCAACTCCTAGGTAGGGTCGCACTGGGATAATTTTGAATGTTCCTCCTGTGGAGGGACGTGCCCGACTTAATGCTGCTGGAGGCGGCGGACTTCCTCGCCCAGGCCGCCAGAAAGGGCCGAGGGGCCGCTGGGCCTGGAACGGCGCTCTCGGCGCAGTCCCTGCCAAGTGGGGGGGGCGAGGTCGCACATGGCGCGGGAGGTGCCGCAGAACATCACCAGTATGTGTAAGGAGGAAGCCAGTCCTCCCTCCTCCTCCTCCTCCTCCTCCCCCTCCTCCTCCTCCTCCTCCGCCTCCTCCTCCTCCTGCGCCTCCGCCTCCGCCTCAGCCTCCGCCTCCTCCTCCTCCGCCTCCGCCTCTGCCTCCGCCTCAGCCCCCTCCTCCTCCTCCTCCTCCTCCGCCTCAGCCTCTGCCTCCTCCTCCTCCTCCTCCTCCTCTCTCCTCCTCCTCCTCCTCCTCCTCCTCCCCCTCCCCCCCCCCTCCCCCTCCCCCCTCCCCCGCCTCCGCCTCCGCCTCCGCCTCCGCCTCCGCCTTCGCCTCCGCCTTCGCCTCCTCCTCCTCCTCCTCCTCCTCCTCCTCCTCCTCCTCCTCCTCCTCCTACATTCCTGTTCCTTATAATTAACTTCTCCCTGTCGCACACCGAGGCCAGTTTTTAGGGCGGGCCGGGCGATTCGCCTGAGACTTCCTCACCAAGTATGACTCTGAAGCTAAAAATAATGACAACAGCTTCACAGATGGAGGGCGGGTCGTTTTCAAAATGTGGCTCTCGCCTTAGCGCCGCGCATACTCGTTTGAAAAATGTGCAAGAATTTCACGGATAGGGGGCGGTTCCATTTCAAAATGTGGCTCCCGCCCTAGCGCCGCGCACATTCGTTTCAAACATTTGCAAGAGTTTCACGTATTGGGGGCGGGTGGTCTTCAAGATGTGGTTCCCGCTTTAGCGCCGCGCACATTCGCTCTAAAAATCTGCAAGTTTCACGTATTCCCATAATCGGCGTACCAGACATGGCATGTTGGAAGGATTCAGGATTATGCGGGTGCAACCGTTATGCTGATTCGCGGTGCTGAAGTCCTAAAATGGCGTTCTGGCACGATTCCGGATCGTCAAGACGCAGCAGTCAGGTTGATCCGTGGCGTTGATATCCCGAGAACAATGTTTTGGCACGCTTCAGGGTCTTCAAACGGTTGTCTCCCAACGAGTTCCCTCAATGGAAATGAGCCGCTGCAGGGGCCCATGAAGAGGGAGCTTGGAGGGAGGGTTAATTCCAACATCGTTAATGACCCGGCTTACACTGGTCCTCCTCCTCCTCCTCCTCCACCTCCGCTTCCGCCTCCTCCTCCTCCTCCGCCTCCGCCTCTGCCTCCTCCTCCGCCTCCTCCTCCGCCTCCTCCTCCTCCGCCTCCGCCTCGGCCTCCGCCTCCTCCTCCTCCTCCTCCTCCTCCTGCTCCTTCTCCTCCTCATCCTCCTCCTCCTCCTCCTCCTCCTCCTCCTCCTCCTCCTCCTCCAGCGCGGGCTTCTCCAACATTGTGACTGGCATGGCATGGGGTACATATTGGGCAGCGCGCTGTTGGATCTCTTCTTGACTCTGGGCTACCGCTTGAACTCACGGTCGATGATCGACCGCTGCACAAGAGGACCCCGCCGGGGCCTCGAATTGGCCCGACCCTGTGATACCGCCGCAGCGTATGTTAAAGCAGTCCGCTGCCCGCAAGTGAAGCGGCATGCCACACGCTTCCCAGCAGATGCTCGAAGGCAACCCCTCCAGCTGGTAGCGGTCCGACTCTTCCTCGGGGATATGGCGCTCACGGTTCTTGAGTGCGTCGCCTTGCCGTGGCGCTTTTCACCCCAACCTTCCTCGCCATTGGCTAACTTGTGTTTGCCGTGGCACTTCTCGTAGCAATAGTGTCGGGAATCATTGGGGCAAGAGTGGCTGCGGAAGCAGCATGTGCCGTGGGCACACTGAAAGAGCTTCACTCGGTTGAGGTCGTTGTCGTAGTCGACGGTGTCGTCGCGCTCTCTCCTGACGCACCCCGCCGCTGGAGCGGTTTGCTCATCGCTTGGCTCCCGCGGCTTACGGAATGCGCGATGTGGCTCGGTGACGACGATGATCAAAAGTTTGAGCCTCGAGCTACGGAGACTGCGTCAGAGACGGCCTGACGCGATGAGCCGTCAACGACAATGTCAACCTCCTCTGGCCGACTGCTTGCAACCATGGCTCACGGTCAGGTCGGTACTAGTCTCCTTCACCTCACCCCTCCTCATCACCATCATCGTCCTCATGCTTCCTCCTCCTCCTCCTCCTCCTCCTCCTCCTCCTCCTCACCATCATCATCATCGTCATCATCATCATCATCATCATCATCATCATCATCATCATCATCATCATCATCATCGTCATCATCATCAGCATCGTTATCATCATCGTCGTCGTCAACATCATCATCAGCATCATTAACAATCGTCATCCATACTGATCCTCATCACGGTCGTGAGCACAATACTCTTATGATTATCATCACAATTAGCATTTTCATTACTGTTTTTGTCGTGCTTCCTACCGTTGCATGCGCGTGCCATCGCCTTCATCATTGCGATTCATGCGGCTCGTACTCCTATTGCTCTTCCATGTTCATCATCGGCATGAGCATCAGCCAGGGCGCCATCATCATCGTCGTAATCACCACCACCATATTCTTCCCCATCCTGCTTACTAGCACAGTGATAATCATCGGACTCACCATCAGCAGCATCATAATCATCAGCATTATCATCGGCAACGTCACCTGCATCGTCACCATCACCCCGCACGCGCGCCCAGAGCCCCGCCCCGAATGCTGGGGTGAGGTCGTACGCGGGCATCAGCTCTATGTCGCGGATGAAAGCGCGGCAAAGGTACACGACGGTCCCGCCTGTGTGGCCGCAGCCGGGCGCGGAAGTGGGGGAGAGATCCCCAGAATGGAGCGCTCCAGCGGCCCTCCGAGGCTCACAGCCGGCCGCTCGTCGAGTGGCCCTTCTGTACTGGTCACGGTGGCAGAGAAGGGAGGAGGGAGGGAAGAGGAAGTCAGGTCAGATTCGGCTGCAGGACACGTCGAATACCGCAGCGCCGATAGAGGACCTCATGGAATCCGCGAGCTTGGATACTGCATCCTCAATGCTAGCCAGGCTGGAACCCAAAAAATGGGAACATTCAGCCGCAGTGAATACACTGCAAGCTATGTCATGCGATCGGTGTGCTGAGCAATGTGTGTGTGTGTGTTGCAGGCTACGTGATAAAGCGGCCGTGGTGCAATACACGTGGTGCCATCTATGTGGTACCATCTACGTTGTGCAAGCTGTGATGAAAGCTGTGTGATGCTAGCTGCGTGATGCGATGTATGTGATTCGAGCTATGCGTTGCAAGCAGTGTGATGCCTTCTGCGCATGGTGCAATATGTGTGATGCGAGCTGTGCGTTGAAAGCTGTGTGATGCAAGCTGTGTGCTGCAACCCATGTGATACAATCTGTGCGGTTCAGGCCATGTGGTGCGAGCCACGTGGTGGCACCAGGCGAAACCCCGCCACACCCACCCAGCGCATGTGGCGCCCACGATGCGCCCACGGGCGACCAACGGCGGGCACCAGGCGAAACTCCGCCGCACCCACCCAACGCACGGGTCGGCCACGATGAGCACACCAGCGGCCACCAACCAGGAACAGGGCAAAACCCGCCACACCCGTCCATTTGCTTGGCAAGCCAAGTAAGAACCTTTCAGTGCAAGAAATGTTTGGGAGAAACCCGGTCGACTGAAGGGTGAGGAGGGAGGAGCGAGGGGAGGAGATGAGGAGAGAGAGGCGGTAGGAGAGAGGGGGGAGGGAGTGAGGGAGGGAGGAAGAAGAGGAGGACCAAAAAAACCCAAGATACACCAACGATGCTGCAACACACCCTCCAGTCCTAAGTCTCTCCTCTTAAGTCCCATACGAATCTCCCTTTCCGCTGCGGGAAAGCCCTCCTTGACAGACGAACGTGGGCTTGCCATTCAGGCGAGACCCAGTTTTGCAGAGGATGCACATTCCATCCTTGCAGCTATACATTCAAGAGCTGTCCAACGATAACACAGCTTTGAAAAGCACGTGCCCTCCTTCCCTGTACGGGTTCAACGGCTTACAGGCTCTTGTATGAAAAGTCGAAGAAATTATCAAACGAGAGCCCAAGCTTGAAAAGGAGATGCCATCCATCCGTGTAACTGCTGAGCACGTTTGACCTTCGGGTCATGAAACTCAAGCAAGCCTCAAGCGAGAACCCCGTTTTGGAAGGGAGCCAGCCTCCGTCCGCGTAACGGTTGGCACTTGTAAAACGAGCACGCGCGGCGCCAACGCGAAAGCCCCATGTTCAGAACCGGCTTTGCTGCATCCGCAGAACTGCTAGAATCTTCCAACTTCGAGAGCGTAAATCTGGCGCAGAGCCCAACCCGCTCTGACGACACGTCTGGTGGCGCGACAAGGACAAGTCATCGATCAAGAAGACCGACGGCTGAGGAGCGGAGCAGACCCAATCAGCCAAGCGCTCCGACGGGAGCTGAGCAGGCAGCCTCCCAGCCCAGGCCTCACACGCCGCCAATGGTTCGCCACCAGCGCTCTTGTCTGCAAGTTCGACCTGTCGGGGCCTTGTAAGGCCCCAGGACCGTCTGACAATTGCCCGCAGTGAAAAAAATATCCCAGTGCGACTCTACCTAGGAGTTGGAGCCTCTAGGAAAGCAACATTAGTAGGAGCGGTAAACGCCGTCCTCCTCCTTCTCCTCATCGTCGTAATTGTAGCAGTAGCGGTAGTACTAGTAGTAGTAGTAGTAGTAGTAGTAGTAGTAGTAGTAGTAGTAGTAGTAGTAGTAGTAGTAGTAGTAGTAGTAGTAGTAGTAGTAGTGGTGGTAGTAGTGTAGTAGTAGTAGTAGTAGTAGTAGTAGTAGTAGTAGTAGTAGTAGTAGTAGTAGTAGTAGTAGTAGTAGTAGTAGTAGTAGTAGTAGTAGTAGTAGTAGTAGTAGTAGCAGTAGTAGTAGCAGTAGTAGTAGTAGTAGTAGTAGTAGTAGTAGTAGTAGTAGTAGTAGTAGTAGTAGTAGTAGTAGTAGTAGTAGTAGTAGTAGTAGTAGTAGTAGTAGTAGTAGTAGTAGTAGTAGTAGTAGTAGTAGTAGTAGTAGTAGTAGTAGTAGTAGTAGTAGTAGTAGTAGTAGTAGTAGTAGTAGTAGTAGTAGTAGTAGTAGTAGTAGTAGTAGTAGTAGTAGTAGTAGCGCCAGAACCGCCGACGCCACGCCGTAAGTGAAGCAGCAGCAGAAGCAGGCAGCAAGTCGCCGAGACAGCAGCAAAAGCAAGCAGGCACGGAGATGAGGGCGGGGCAATAGCAGCAGCAATAGTGGATGCTGTGCTGCGCTATGCTATGCTATGCTATGCTATGCTGCCATGCTATGCTATGTTATGCGATGCTATGTTATGATATGCTATGCTGCGCAATGCTATGCTATGCTATGCTATGCTATGCTGCGCTATGCTATGTTATGCTATGCTATGCTATGCTGCGCTATGCTATGCTGCGCTATGCTATGCTATGATATGCTATGCGTTTGCTTTGCCTTCGCTTTTGCCTTCACTTTTGCCTTTGCTTTTGTTTTTGCTTGGCACACAGAGAGCGCAACTGGGGAAACCGCGCGTTTGCTCTTACATTTGCTGTTGCTTTTGCTTGGCTCCCAGGGGACCGGGGGAACCGCCCGGGGCGGTTTACACTGCCCGGCCCCTTTAAGCCAAGACAGTAAGAACCCTTCTAGGCAGAGCCTAGGTAGGGAACTATCTAAAGGAAGGAGTCGAGCCCACGTCGCGAAAACAAAAAGCAAAGCCGGAGGTTTTGAGGCCTCGACAGGAAGAGGAGGAGAAGGACAAGAGCAAACCCAGAATGCATTAATGATGCTGCACTGCAAAACACCCTCCCGTCCCAAGACCTCCCCATACAGGTCCCTACATGACTACCTACCAGACCACTCCACTCCAACCCAACCCGAAGATCCGAATTTGACCCGAATTTCGGGTTGACGGGGGGTACGAGTTCCATGTGTTTTTTCAGTATTGCCCGACCCCCCCCACTGGAAATGGAGGGCAAATTGAGGACTTCGGGTTGGGTTTGGGGGGTTTCTGAGTGGTGACTACAAGTATGGCTTCCCACTGCAGGACGCTTCCCCCTCGAACAACGAGCGCCCTGCCGAGGCAGGAAGATAGAAAGTTCACGGAAATGTCCAGCAAGAACTCCATGTCTTGAAAATGACCGGCCCTGCCTACGCGGAAATGTTGCACGAATTCGTAAGTATGGTCGCAAGGTTGACGGGAATGTCGAACAAGAGCGACAGCTTGAAAAGAAGCCGCCCTCTATCCGTGCAACTGTCACGCGGCTTTGGGGATTCGAATCACAGGACTCGAAGAAACACGAGTGAGAGTCGCATGTTGAAAACGAGCCCACCTCCATCCTTCTAGATGTAGGAAGCTTTGAAAACAAATGTTCGTGGGACTGAAGGCAAGAGCCGAACTTTGAAAACCACCGCCCCTCCATCCTTGAAGCTGTTGAACGCCTCTAAAACGAATGTGCGCGGCGCTTAGGCTAGGGCCGCATTCGGAAAACCACTGGCCTTCCATCCTGGTGAGTGTTGGAGCTGCTTCTAGCTTCAGCATGAGTATGCACTAAGGAATCGCGAGCGAAACGCCTTGCCCAGTCTACGGATACATTTGGTAGTGCGACAGGGGGGCATGTCTTAGGAAGAGGGATGGATGAGGAGGAAGAGAACATGGGGACGGCGGGGGAAGAGGAGGAGGAGGAGGAGGAGGGCGGATGAGGAGAGGGGAGCAGGGAGGAGGGGGAGGGGGAAGGGGAGGTTTATTGAGGGGGTCCCGCATGTGTCTGGGGTCGGGGCCACGACACGCTGTATTGGGCAGGGGAACTGCATGCGAACTGCGCCACTGGGACCTTCGGTGGATCTCCTTACGGGGACACGAAACGCTGTGCTGGGTGGGGGAGACGCATGTGAACTGCGCAACTGGGACCTTCGGTGGAGCTCCTGCTTGGGCCACAAAACGCTGTTCTGGGTGTGGTAGACGCATGCGAATTGCGCCACTAGAACCTTTGGTGGAGCTCCCTATGGGACTACGAAGCGCTGTACTGGGAGGGGGCGACGCGTGCGGGCTGCGCCACTGGGACCTTCGATGGACCCCCTATGGAACCGCGAAGCGCTGTACTAGGTGGGGGAGACGCACGTGAACTGCGCAACTGGGACCTTCGGTGGAGCTCCTTCTTGGGCCACATAACGCTGTTCTGGGTGTGGTAGACGCATGCGAACTGCGCCGCTAGGACCGTTGGTGGAGATTCCTATGGGGCCGCGCTGTACTGATGGGGGAAGACGCATGCAAACACCGCCACCAGGGCCTTACTCCCTATAGGGCCACGAAACGCTGTGATGGGCGGGGGAGACACATGCGAACACCACCACTGGGGCCTTCAGTGGAGCTCCCTATGGGGCCGCTAATCGCTGTACTGGGTGGGGGAGACGCATGCGAACTCCGCCACTGGGGCCTTAAGGTGGACCCCGTGTGGGGCCACGAAACGCTGTACTGGGCGGGGGAGACGCATGCGAACACCGCCACTGGGGCCTTAGGTGGAGCTCCCTATGGGACCACGAGGCGCTGTGCGGGGTGGGGGAGACGCCCTCCTCCCAACATCATGATGATGATGGGAAGAGGGAGGAGGGGGAGGAGGGAGGAGGGGGGGAGGATAGGAGTGACGCGGGGCGCTGTCTCTTCAAAACGAGGACCCAACAACACAGGATGGTTGGGGGGGGAAAAAAAAAAAAAAAAACCTTTGGCTGACAACTCGCCGTTTCTGCGCTGGGGGGCTCTTTCAGGCCAGG